CCCCAGCTCCTAAAGGCCTCTGCCCGGTGGGCAGGCATAAGACAGCCTGGCACTTTGGACCCTGGGAGAGATCCTTTCCTGTCCCCCACTGCCTTTCTAATCAGTGCCTTGGGCTTGGGGTGTGGCCGAAGCTCCCAAAGACACTGAGAGTCACACTCATCCTTGGCAATGTTACAGTTAATTTCTTGGTCTCCGTCTCAGGGACAGAAAAGAGCTTTGTAGAGAAGGAAAAAAAAAAAAAGCAACAAAATGCTTCAAATGCGGGGGCTTTTGGGCTTTTGTCTCCCATGACTGGGATTCTGGGTGAGTTAGCCCAGATATCAAGCAAAGAAAGCAGAAATGTGAAAGGTTATTTGGAAGCAATTTCTAGAATGTTTTCTGGGAGACCAGGGTGGGAAACTGGTCTTTTAAATTTGAATAAAGTTTGTACAATAGGTCTGCTTTGGAAGAGATAACCCATGGTTGATCTTGGAGTCTCAAATCCAATTGTGTGTGTGTGTGTGTGTGTGTAGAGGAGAGAGAGGAGAGAGAGAGAGAGAGAGAGAGAGAGAGAGAGAGAGAGAGAGAGAGAGAGAGACTATATAGCCCAGGCTGGCTTTGAACTTTTAGCAATTCTCCTGTCTCTGCCTCATGAGAGCTGAAACTGTAGGTATGTGCCATCACATACATCCAAAAATATGTATTTGTGAAAGCCAAGTTCACAGGCACAAAGGCACAGGCTCTCTTCATTCTTTTGAAGATGGCTATCGTCAGAGACCTTCACACTCTCAGAAGCCACAGGAACCACTCCTGGCCTAGGCCGTGTGAATGTACCTTGCACGAATGTTCTTGCCAAGGCTGGGAGAAGGCTAGTCCACCAACAGTGCCTGTCCTGGGTAGACCGCTGCAGCCATTTTCCCTTAGCAGCTTATCTGAGCCCCACTGCCGTAAGGGGCTGTCCAGAGTGTAGACCCATCTCTCTGTTGGGGGCATTTGTCAGCAAAGGACAACCAACACACGTTGCTCTAGTCCCAGAGCTGGAAGCTCCTTCTGTTTCTTTCCTGCCAAGTGTGGGTCTGGATTTGCTCTCTGGCATCTTTTGCTGCCTTAATAGAAAATGGTAAAATCTGGATTTGTTCAAGCGTTCCTCTTTACAAAATGGAGTCAAATACTTGCCTTGAAATGGTGTCGGTGAGACCGGAGTTGAAGCACTCAGAGGCCAGATTAGAGAGTGGCCAACAAAGCAACCCTAGCCAAGGGGGGCAGTTCATTAATTCCAGCATGCTGGAGAGTTAGGAATTCAGGGCTAGCCTGAGCTATCCCATGAAACCTTGTCTCAAAAAACAACGGAACCCAAACGAAACAAGTAACAACCACCAAAACTATTTTTAAAAGATTGCTTATCCAACCAACTTCAAATGGAAGTAAAACATTGTTTATATTGCTCATATCTAAATACAACAGAATCTGAAGTGAGAAACAATCCAGAGCTAGAGAGGTGGCTCAACTGTGAGCACTTAACTGGGGTGCTGCAGCGGTCTACCCAGGACAGGCGCTGTTGGTGGACTAGCCTTCTCCCAGCCTTGGCAAGAACATTCATGCAAGGTACATTCATACAGCCTAGGCCAACCAAGGTTCCTGTAGCTTCTGAGAGTGTGAAGGTCTCTGACTATAGCCATCCTCAAAAGAATGAGGAGAGCCTCTTTTCAGAAGATCTAGGTTTAATTCCCAGCACCCACATGGTGGCTCACAATGCCTGTAACTCTAGTTCCAGAAGATCTGATGTCTTTTTGCTTCTGAGCTCTGTGAACTTCTGCATACACACACACACACACACACACACACACACACACACACACACACCCATAAAAATTAAGATACATAATAAACATTTAAAAGCAAGAGAAATAATAAACCCTAAGTCACAAATGCCAATAAATAACCCAAGTTAGTGTTTGTAAGCTTCTTTGGATTTTGGAGACAATGTTGCTATGTAGCCCAGGCTGGCTGCCAATTCCCAGCCTCTATCTCAGTGACCAAGTGCTGGGCTCCCAGGCTGGCAGCACAGTCACATAACTTCATGCGCACCTTCTGTAGTGTTGTTTGTACAGGATGAAGGTAACCAGCCTGTCACGTTTGAACATCTACCCTTTCTCCCCTGCTTTATGTGATTCTCCCCCTAGTTCCTCTGTAGCTCGAATACCTAGCATCCCAAATCACAGTATCTAGCTTTTACATTTTATCTATCACTTGGTTGTGGGTCAGTATTAATTAAAGAGTTTCTGTTACAAACACAGCATTCAGCTCTTTCTATCACTTGGTATTGAACTCTTGGTAAACTTTATATTGGTTATTTTAAAATGTTTTGCACTTTCATTTATTTATTTTTTGGGTATGTGTGTGAGGGCACACATGCCATGGTGCACTTGTCAGAGGACAGCTTGTAGGGGCTGATTCTCTACTTTCACCATGTGGGTCCCAGGGATGAAACTCAGGTCGCAGTAAATGCCTTTACTAATGAAGTCACCTCACAGGCCCAATATTTGTCAATTTTTACCAAATTACCCCTTAGAATAATTTGGTAGGTTCCTAACAACAGATAAATATGTTTGAACTAGAATTTCCCATTTTTCCTAAAAACCAATTTTGTATTTTCTTTTTTCCCCTAATTTAAATGTGCATAAGATATCTTGCCGGGCAGTGGTGGCGCACGCCTTTAATCCCAGCACTCAGGAGGCAGAGGCAGGCGGATCTCTGTGAGTTCAAGGCCAGCCTGGTCTCCAAAGTGAGTTCCAGGAAAGGCGCAAAGCTACACAGAGAAACCCTGTCTCAAAAAAAAAAAAAAAAATATCTTGTAGTGTTTTTAATTTTCAATTTTAAAAGCACGATGAATATGAACATGTTCTCATTGTTTTGTTTTCTTTTGTCATTTGAGGCAATGTCTTGCTATGTAGCCCAGGCTGGAGTAGAACGGTAGCTCTTCCAGGCTCAGTCTCCTGAGTGTTAGGCTATGAAGCTACCATACCCAGCTTTGTTTTCTAAGACTAAGCTTTTCTATTGTTGTGTAAGTGGTTTAATTCAGGGGATGGCACACTATGGCCTGGCCAGCCCTTATTCCTAAAAATAAAGTTGTATTAGCACACAGCTGTGTTCACTTGTTTATATATTGTCTTGGGCTGCTTTTTGTTGGAACTAAACCCTAACACAGTTGCTATCTGGCCTTTAACGGGTAATCTGTCCCTCAGCTTCTCACACCAGGCTCCAGCGCTGTCATGTGCTTGAGCTCCCTTCATCCAGTACGGGATGCCCATTTGTCTTTGCTCATACTTCTGTGTCTGTGACCCCAATTCCACTCTGCCAGGATGGTTCACCTTCTGAGAGAGCCCATTCCTTTCAAGTCAGATTCACAATGCTAATTTCACTAGATGATACTGACAGTTGATGCACAAGAATCAGAGTGTTGGGGAAAGCACTTTGTAAAAATACAAGATACTATAAAAAGTAGCGACTTAATGATAATTAGCAATTCTTTTATGTGGCAGCATCAACATCCATCACCGTTTCTATTGTTATTTCAAACCACTTACCCGGCACTCCCAATGGCTCCCAGGGAGTAGACAGTCTTCCATTTCTTAAAATACTCTATTGAATTCTATCAATACAGTAAGGAGCATAGATGAGTTATTTTAGTGATACCAGAGGTCAGCTTGGACCAATTATAAGAATAATTCAATTCAAATAGTCATTTAGATGACTAAAATATCAAACAAACAGCCAAGCAAGAAAGCACAACCTTCTGCATCATCCTTCAGTTAATTCCAGAAAACAAAGACTGGGATACTGGAGGAACAATAAATGTGGCCCCCCAAGAGAATATTAAACCAAAGAGCAGTTCTTTCCTTTGGTGAATTGTGAAAGTAGTTATATGAAAGAAGAAGAATGCCTTGGAAGAAAGTTTCATTTATTCAGAGAAAACCAGAGAGTCTGAGCCAAAACATGTTCTGTAGAAACGATGCCGAGAATCTTTGGAAATTCTGCTTACTTCCGCAAAGTATTCTTTAGAACACGGATCTCCAACCTGTCCTAGCTGGCTTTTTAGAAGCATGTCTGCAGTCTTGCTCTGATGGCTCCTACCTTTCTTTGAAATCATCCTAAAATATATTAAAAAGCTGCACTACATCATTGTATGTATGTACAGATGGAATTCGTTAATTTTAACAACGATCTTTTCCCTTTGCGTTGTGAACAGCCTGGGTGTTCCACTTATAGAAGGAAAGCCTGGTTGGTTATGAATGTTCAACCCTGGACCAGAAGCTTCTCATTGTAACCACCCTTCCGGGGAGGAGGCGCCTGCTCCTTCAGCACCTCCATTAACAGCAACTCTTATTTATTAATAGTGCTGCCTGTTCCTCAGGAAGCACAGTATACAGTAAGGTCAGAAAATAAGCAAAGGAGAGGACTTGAAATTGATTTTCTTCTGCTCTGTGAGATTCCATGGGAGTTCAATGGCTTGCAGCAGTAGCTGAGTCAATATGGCTCCATTTGAGACCACCTTGAGGTTCAATGCTTTCCCATCCCTCATACGCTTCCTCTCCTGTCAGATTCATTCATATTTCATTGTCTTTTGTGGTGCAATAGTATGACCTTTAGTCACAACACCATGGTGAGGATTTTGCTCAGGGTGGAATTGTGATTTATTCCAAGAAAATGGTTTCTCCTTGCTTGTTAAAAATCAACATCACCATAAAATAAATCTGAAAATCCAAAGGGGGGTGGGAAGAAGCAATAAAGAGAATCACAGGACTCCTTGCAAGACAGCTTTTCGGTGTGAGAGTGTTGCTAAGTCTTCCTGGGTTTGAACTGCAGAAAAATCAAGTACAGTGCCTTCTAGTGTGTGACTGAGCTGAAGCCGTTGTATCAGCCACACCACTGTCCTTTCTGTATACTCTTTTGAATGCTGCTCTTCATCTCTTACAGTCCTCAGGTAGAATGCTCAGACTCTCTCCCCTTTCTGTCTTTAGGGAAGCAATAAGCCGCCTGTGTGACGCTGTCCCTGGGGCCCACGGAGCCATTAAAAAGCGAAAGGTGAATATTTACGGGAGCTTCTTGTTTTATGTCAATTTAACTATGGCAAAATGATATAAAAGTGGTCATTCTATTCTCGGGCTTCTTTAAATTCTTTATTTGTGGCCCCTTTTTGCCTGAGAATTTTATGTATGTATGTGCATATTTGAATGTGGGTTTGGGTGTACACGTGTGCCCGTGATTGATTTATCTGTCTGTCTATCTATCTATCTATCTATCTATCTATCTATCTATCTATCTATCTATCTATCTATCTATCTGTCTATCTTGGAGACAGGGTCTTTCACTGGCCTTGGAGTTGCCAAGTAGGCTAGGCTAGCTGGCCAGTAAGCCCAAGGGATCTGTCTCTACCCTACCATTGTGTGTGTGTGTGTGTGTGTGTGTGTGTGTGTGTGCTCTGAGGGTAGAAGCTGGGTCCTTGAATTTGAATCTTGCCAGGCTGAGCTAGCTAGCTGGGGAGATCCCCAGGCTGAGAGTTTACATGGGTCCAGCTATAGAGGTGTTAAGTACACAAACCAAACATTTATTGATAATAAGACATAAGAGATTTATCGGAAAACAATTCTCTAGGTTGGAACATGGCTCAGAATGTAAAAACACTTGCCACCAAAAATCCTGATGACTTAAATTCCATTCCTGGATCCCCCTGTGGAGGGATAGAACCAACTCCTGAAAGTCGTTCTTGGACCGCCACATATATGCTCTGACATGCACATGCCCACATTCATAAACACACTTTGAAACACACACATAAAATGATAATAATAAATAAAAAAATCATATGTCTGGTATACATATGATTTATGAAAACATTTATTAATGATGAAAGCAAATTTGCTTACTAATGAGAATGTGCTTACTTGTTTTCATATAAAGAGTTAAATTATGCATATTTGATAATGCAGGATATAGAACATCTTCTATATTCTTCAGATTTGATCACTATTTTATTTTGTGATTGAAGTGACTGAGAATGTCATTTCCTATAAATACATAGTACTAAGTGGCAGAAGTATGTCTAGGGCCATTTCAGAAATTCTTTGGCATTTTGACCTAATCTCAAGCCAGAATTCACTTAGTGATATTTTATGAAACTCAAGTGAATGATTCAAGCAGCAATCTTTCTTTCATAAGCCAACATTGTAATATAACGCAATAAAAAGATATAATAATTTGATATCAATATGCTAAGGAATGACAGTTGGAAAATACTGTGTCTTTTTCTCTTCTGAATTCAAACCACTATTTTTCATAAGAGCAGATACTCTGTAAGCATGGTGAAATACTGACATCGTTTCTAATCTGTGTCAAGATGTTTTAGGCAGCATACATTGGTGCAACATGCATTGGAGCTGTGGGTTCTGATGCATGCATTTTGATACCCACATATCACTTGAAGAAACATGACTTCGGTGAAGTACTACCACACAACCATTCCAGCTCACTTGGTTTATATGAAATCAGAGAGGAGGTGGTGCACATCCATAACTTACAATGGTGTTTTGTTATCTTTAAAGGCTCCTGTTAAGGTCCTGTCAACGGTTCTTGGCAAAAGCAATCTTCAGTTTTCAGGAATGAATATAAAACTCACCGTTTCGACATGCAGCCTCATACTGATGAATCTTGACAACCAACAGGTAAGGTAGCCAGGGATTATAGTTTAGTATATTATTTTTTTTTCCGGGATGTCTGTAGTTAGTAGAAGAATAAGGTGTGAGAGTGTGCTTACAATTTAATAAATAACACAGGGAAAAAATGTCCAAGATTTATGCACTCAGTAATTAGAGTTCCTAACAGCGTTATTAACTATTGCTGGGGAGTTTAATTGCCTACAAAACCACTTTTTGCACCTGATTGGCTCTGTATAAAGTACCAAAGATAAAAGGACAGAGCTAATATTGTTTGCCAATTAATATCCCTGATGTGGTTATTGGACTTGGGTCAGATGAAGGACAAAGAGCAAAGGTAGTATTGGGGTTAACGTGTTAGGTTACTGTGTTATGAGAATTTCCTTCACAGGTGGGGGACTAGGCATCATTTACCTCCCCTCCCTGACAAATTGTACAGTCCCCCAAAGTTTACCCTGGAGAACTGATGGACTTGGCTCCCTTATGAAGCACAGGGGAAGGCCTCCAGGCAGGAGCATGGGTGGCCTTAAAACACTGAAAAGTCTGCACCCAGCATGGATGGTGACTCTCCTATGGCTGTGTAGACGGAGACCAGTCCCTAGTTCTTCCCACATTATGGAGTTCTAGCCCCTCTCGGAGACCACATGCAGGGTAGAATTGCATTCAACTGGTTGGAAGGATTGGCTAGATACTCTGCTGAGGGTCCCATGATGGTCCCATGAGCCTCCCTGTCCCTCCTACTTGTGAGGGGATCTCAAGTCTTGTTGACTGATCTTTTGCAAATGGGTACAGCTAAATTCTTGAAGATGGAGGCAGTTTGGCTCAGAGAACAGTCCCAAGCAAAAGCAGCTAACTGAAATTTGTGCAGAAAATGTTACCTTCCAGGTCTTTTAGTTGAAAAGCTCTCGGAGATGTAACAATGTGGACATTATTTTCCTTCCCTGATTTATAATGCTACGGTCTGCCTGGGTTTCCTGCAAATGTGACTCACTAGAGAAGCACACTACTGCAACAAATATAGAAGATGCACAGACTGAATAGGCATGGGAACTGCAATGTAAGATCCTTATGCCCGGTTATTTATACTTGCTGGAGCCTGATGCTGCTCTCTGTCTAATATATAGTAACAGTGGCTGCTTACCAAGGACTCATGGATGGCTCAGTCTCACTGGTAATGACAAAGCAATTAAGACCCTTGAGACCACATAGGGGCTTTGCCACTTGGTGACAGTTTCCCTCCATCACTCAGCTTCAGTTTTCCTCATCGGTGACCTGTGGGTCACAGTACCTATTTACAAGGCTTCTTGCATTTGAATGCTGTTATGAGGCTATTTAGAGGATTAAGGGAGGTAATGAATGCAGATCACTTAGCACAATGCTGGCAATGTGGTGCCCAATGTTGTTTACTCATTCTTTCTCCAAGGCCTTTTCAGATACATTCCTAGTGCCCAAGAGGGCTAAAGCATATGTAAAATCGTCAACAACTTCATTGCTGCTTTTTTCTAATGATGAAATGCACACCTTATTTAGTAGTATAAACTACCTCAGAGGACACTTAAATACGAAATAACTTAATAGTCCTGTTCAGTTGGGTGTTGATTTATCTATCCAAGTGTCAGTGATACCTATAGCGGGTAAACAGCTGTATAGTTTTGAGGGGCCAATGGGGAAGATGCAACACAAGTGAAATTTCATTCATTCATCCATTCTGACCTCAAGGTGTTTGTATATGTACACTGCAGTTCGGGTTTTACTTGCATATGGTACCATGGAGTCTCACTGTGTTTACAGATGACATCTCATTGAACAACTCCAATTACTCACTGTTTTTTAAGAGGCAAAGCTAGAGATACCATGGTGACAGCCGTATGTGCAGAATCTAGTAATAGGTTTTTGTTTGTTTGGCTTTTTGTTTTTGAGACAGGGTATCTCGATGGTAGTCCTGGAGCTTGCTATGTAGGTCAGGGTAGCCTTGAACTCAAGAGATCCTGCCTCTGCCTCCTGAGTGTGGGGATTAAAAGTGTATGCCACCACCTCTGGCTAATAACTGTTTTCTAATGGCCCTTTCCATGAGGAGATTAAACTGGATTAGGGGGTCTGAACAATGGGGTTGTGGTGAACATGGTGGTAAGGCATCACCCAGGCTGTCTCTTTCTTCTCTTCACTATCCTTCTTTAACCACAGCAGTTAGAGCTGCGTTGTGTGACTTTTGTTGGGGGATCTGTCAACTAACATGTTTGCTCCAGGTAAAGTACCAATGACAGAACAATCATTTCCACTGAGATCTCGATTAGTGGGCAGTGAGTTTATTGAGCCCACTTACAGGACAGTGGGTGAGGAGGGGTTATTTATAGGTGCATGGATGACCTCAAAGGCAGCTGCACCAGTGAAAACATAAAAGTCCATCCAGGACAGATGAGGACTCTCAAGAGCTGCTTCCCTGGGGCTCCCTGCACAATTAGCTCTGGCTGGGCTGTTTAGAATCCTTTGGCCATTGTTATGGCTTGCATAACCTTGAGCAGGGGCCTCAGATTTCTGAGGTGTTTCATATAGACCATGAAAAGAACAGCTAAAATGTTCAAGAGATGAAACCAGTGGAGAAGAGTCCTCATGGACACAGCATGAGAAAATGAGAAAATGACTAAGTATTTAAAGGTTATTAAATTTAAGGGAATACGGGTTGGAGAGATAGGCTACTAAGCCTGATGACCTGTTTGATTCCCAGGCCCACATGACAGCAGGAGTGGACCAGCTTCTGAAGGCAAGCCTTTGATATCTGCTTGCTACAGCAGGTACCCTCCCCATAGACACACAAATAAATACATATAAATTTAAAAAACAATACAAAGAAATACCAATGCATGGCTCCTTCAACTTTCAAGATACACTTTGCTCCCTAAACACAAATATATTCAATTCTATGGACACTGTATTACTTTTCCAGGGGAGAGGATGAGCAAAGGACTATTGACCCCAAATAGACACCAATAAATCAATGATTCCCCCAAATCCAACCAGTGAGCCAGAGAATTTATTGGGTGAGTAAAAAAGAGGGCTAAGGGGTTACTCATTGAAGTGTTTATAGCTGCACTACCAAAAGGTCCCATACTCACATGGGTGACAATCTCCCAAATGTCACATAACAGGGTCCCCATATCAGTCAACTTCTTTCATATATTTTAGTACCTATTGAAACCACATGCAACCGGAGCAGACTTATGTACAGGTACCTTGGAGGAAGAGGAGGGGCTGACTAGAACCCCAGAGGAGGGTCTAAAATTACTAACAGGTCCATTCTTGGTGGAGTTATTTCTCTCCCTCCATCATATGGGCTCCTGAGATCACACTTGGTCATGAGGCTTGGCTGTATGACGGCAGGTGCCTTTACCCAGAGCCATCTCCCCAGCCCAGCCTCCCAAACAAGATGAAACAGAACCCCCCACAAAAACCTGAGTTTTCCTACTGTCCTGTTGCCATTGTGACACAGGGACATTCAGGACTTTTTAATTCATCATAAAAGATGTGCTAATACATCATTTTTCCTGGTATGGCCTTTGTTGCAATTCCCACTCAAGGAACTTCAGCATCTTCACCAAATAACCCACAGCAACATACACACTGAGCAGGCTTCTGTAGGCTGGTCAGTTCTTTCAGAAAATTCCTAAGTTTACTTAATCTTGACTTCTCAGAATCCATTTGTCAGGTAACTGCAAACGATTCACTTTATGTTGTAAGCACTGGCTGTTTAAATCTTAGGGTGGATGCAATGACACACACTGTAAAATAATTTTGTATAAAGTATGTATGCAAGGTTATTAGACAAAACAAAATACACAGAACAGGAAAATTTATTATCGCCAATGCTGGTGCATAAGGACTAACAAGCATAATTAGAAGGAGGGATGGGGAGAAAGGAAAAGAGGGAGAGAGAGAGAGAGAATGAGTATCAGGTACCCAGGTGGACTTCTGAGCAGGTTGAAATCCTTCAAAGTTTGACAGCATAGTAGCTCATAAAATCTTTTCTAGATACAGGGTTTCCCTTAACTTGACACTTTCCACAAACAGTTCTTACAATATGAAGTTTAGCTATAGTCTTACCATCTATCGAGGTAAAAAACAGCAAGCAAAATTTCCCTAGTATAAAAGGTATTAGAAAGTTTTGTCTTTGGGCTTTCCCATACATTTTAATGCATGAACTTAAAACATTTTTAAAAAGACATCCTGGTTGTTGTTTTTTTTTTAACTTTAAAAATCACCACAATGGACTTTTCCAAATTACAGATCACAGTAGCTTTATAAATCATGAAGATACATGTGCAGTCAAAATTCCAGAAGCTTTTGTAACACATTTTAAGATAATAGTACACATGATAACACGTCTACACTTGTACACCACACATATTTACTTTGCTTATCCTTTGGGGTTGATGAATACTCAATCTTAAATCTCAAATTTAGTTTTTGATAACTGATTTATATAAACCATAAAACAGAATTTGGAAAGTTTTCTCAACAGGCTTTCAGTTCGAATCAAAGATATCTTGTGGATGTATTTTTCCTCCTTCTTTAATTAGATTCTTGTATGGGCAGTCACGATTTTCTCTTGCAAAGCCATCTTTACAAGCCTAACACAGGAAAGCTCTTCTCCAACGCAGGGGAAACCATCTCGTTCAACAGTCTGAGCCAGAGCTTTGTGCCGAGACCCTCCTTCCTCGATTCTCCTTTTCCACCACTGCACGGTCACTCACTGTCTTGTCTTCTACTCCGAGAAACAAAAACCGTTTTTATTCTTTATTTTTGTTGCACAAAACTATTTGGAATGAACCCAAAAACAGCAGAATGTTGAATCTCTCCCTCTCAGGTAGTTTCCTCCTCTTATCGCCAGCATTTACTCTCGATCAATGATCTCATCACAACCGAGCTCTTCGGTCAGTCGATTGACGACCATCAGCGAAAACAGCTCTTCGATAAACGCTAGCTGGTCGAAAGGGCTCTTCTCGCACCGCGCCTGGAAGCCGCCATCCAGGGCATCACCGGCTCGCGCCGTCCGCAGGAACACCTTGTTGGCTTCCTCCAGGGCGGCGGACACCCGGTGCATCGCGCCGCTCCAGCGCTCCTCCTCCGGGAAGTCGTAGTCGTCCTCCCAGTCGTCAAACTCGTCGCCCTCCAGCTCTGCGCCAGCCTCGGCGAACAGGCCGCGCTGGGCGCGGGCGGCGGCCG